CATTTTGATGCATTTAGGTATCATTTTGCTTCTTTAGCATCTTTTAACTTACATTTTTGCTACTTTTAGCTAGCATTTTGATGCATTTAGCTATCCTATTGCTTCTTTAGTATGTTTTAGCTAACATTTTTGCTACTTTTAGCTAGCATTTTGCTTCTTTAGCATCTTTTAGCTAACATTTTGCTACATTTAGCTAGCATTTTGATGCATTTAGGTATCATTTTGCTTCTTTAGCATCTTTTAACTTACATTTTTGCTACTTTTAGCTAGCATTTTGATGCATTTAGCTATCAAATTGCTTCTTTAGCATGTTTTAGCTAACATTTTGCTACTTTTAGCTAGCATTTTGATGCATTTAGCTATCAAATTGCTTCTTTAGCATGTTTTAGCTAACATTTTGCTACTTTTAGCTAGTATTTTGATGCATTTAGCTAACATTTTGCTACTTTTAGCTAGCATTTTGCTTCTTTAGCATCTTTTAGCCAACATTTTGCTACTTTTAGCTAGCATTTTGATGCATTTAGGTATCATTTTGCTTCTTTAGCATCTTTTAACCAACATTTTGCTACTTTTAGCTATCATTTTGCTTCTTTAGCATCTTTTAACCAACATTTTGCTACTTTTAGCTATCATTTTGATTCTTTAGCRTCTTTTAGCTAACATTTTGCTACTTTTAGCTAGCATTTTGGTGCATTTAGCTATCAAATTGCTTCTTTAGCATCTTTTAGCTAAATTTTTGCTACATTTAGACTTTCGTTTCATCAGATTTCAGCAGTCATTCGGCTCTTATTGTCACTTCTCTGTGAACAGTGTTTGTTTCGGGTTGATCTTTAATCATTTCCTCCTCTTCCTCTCAGTCCTTTAAGACCCTGGTGGCGAAGAAGAAGCGTCTGGTGGTCCTGTTCAGCCACTGGCTGCTCCACGCGTACGGCATCATCTCCATCTCCCTGCTGGACAAGCTGGAGCTGTCGCTGCCGCTGCTCGTCCTGGTGCCGGGACCGACCCTGTTCTACATCGCCACGGCCAAGTTCACCGAGCCGAGCCGCATCCTGTCGGAGGGCGGCAGCGGGCACTGAGCGCCACGAGGAGGAGGAGGAGAACAAGATCTTCATCGTCCTGTTTGACTTATTTATTATTGTTTTAAAGGTGTGTAAATATTGTAAATATGATATCAGCTGGTCCTGTTCACCAGTTTGCTGCTAAACGTGTTTATTTAAACGTTTGTAAATGTCTGAATGTGTTACTTCAAATAAACATTGCACGTCTCACACATAAAGCTTTGTGTTAGCAAAATATCTCACAACCCCTTCAAAGAAAGAGACAGTCGCAGCTCTGTCAGCTTAATAATGAGCTGCAATTCGGCACGTTATGAGCTGAAAATGTGTCGCCCAACATGTTCTGAGTGCGAATGGGCGGAGCAACGTCTTAGGTTGGAGGGGGAGACTCAAACATGGATGACAGATGTTAACTCTCATTTTAAGCTTTTATTTTCTCACACCATAACTCGCTGCAGGGGCGTGTCGGGAGCTGTGATGTCATCATGTACCATTTTAAACAAAAGTAACATTCAACTGCAGTTACACCGTTCAACCCATAGAGGGCAGCACTGAGACTTAGTTTTGCAGAATTAAAATTATTAACAGAATATGCACAAAATATAAAGACAATACTCTTAAGGCACAATTTATCTGCAAATGAAAGTAATTTTGGGTTTTAGTTGCTCTTTAACGACTTTATAATTTTTAAATAAATTTAAGAAGAACAGTTTAATCAGACCTCTGACCTGTTCAACACAACGAGACAAARTCTGATTCACATTCAGTTTATTGTCAAACATTAAAAAACAAAAAAGAGCACTTGAATCAATCTAAACTCTTTGGATCAAGGCGTTTGGGTGAAATAAAAACTGAGCGGACAGACGGTGTGAAGATATGTTTCTGAACGTGTTCCACACATGAACTTAAATACTGGTTTTAATCAGAGGAGCTCGCGCTGCAGGAGGCGGGAGAAGAAACCGATCCATGCAGGGTTCCAGTCTGGAACGCTCCCCCAAACCCCTGGACTTCCACACCGTCCTCTGAGAAACCCAACAGGCTGGACCACCTGAGCAGAAACATCTGCCTCGAAGCTCAAAGCCACAGCAAATCACAAACCGTCAGCAGCGTAAAAACAGGTCGGCGGGACACGAGTCCGGCGGGCCGTCACTTCTGGATGTAAATGATGATGATGCACAGAGTCCCCACCAGCCCCAGAGCCTGGAAGCCMAGGAACCAGAGCAGCATCCAGAAGATGAGGATCACCACGGGCTCCACCGTTCTGTCCCCAAAGTACATCTGGCTGAAGCCCAGCCCCAGCAGACACTTGTTGATCATCCCGAACAGAGAGCCCATCCGCTCRCAGTCGTCCAGCTTGGGCTCCGAGACCACCTCGTCCTCCGCCTCCTCGTCCTCGCTGGGGGGCCGAGGCCGGGTCCGACCGGCGCCGCCGGGGAGTCTGTGCCGAGTCCGTTCGGCATCGAGCTGTGAGGACAGAACTGCAAATCAACACAGATTCTGGTCGGCCTGTAAATTTTACTGACGTTGAAATTATCATTATAGATTTAATCTGACAAGTTTATATAATTTACACGATTTCTCCCCCGATTTCAGTGTGATGTGGAGAAGTTAATGTTTCACCACGTTTTTGATCAGGTGGATTCTGAAAATTTCTTCTCGCAGGTCGGTGATGAGGTTGCTCTAGTTCAACAGCACCAAAATATAATAATTTAACTAATTACTGTGACTTTTAAAGTGCCTGTGACATGCACTTAAAATACAAAAAGTCAAAGAAAACAGATTTATACTTAAGAAAATTGCCCTAATACTCAATTTTACCCATTTTGTCACACAACTGGCCTATTTTCTTTTGAATTTGTCTCAGCTAAAGTAAGACAGGAAGTGACATCAAAGGGGAACTCATTAATAACATAAAATCTTTGGTCTTTGTGTATTAAAACAATATGATTCAAACTTTAACTCTTCTTCATCTCTTTGATAGTGACTCAAAATAATGTAAAGAAGTAAATAATGTAAAGAGTTATTTTAACAACACTCTGTTTACAAGCAGACATTCCCGTGACATCACTTCCTGTTACTTCACATGTAAATATCTCAACAATCGTTCATCTGAGCAGCGTAAAATTTGTTTTGCAACATTTTATTCGTGTTTATCTCAAAAATGTGATGTCACAGGCACTTTAAACCCAAAAATGTGACGATGCTATGGTCGGTGTTAGCAAAACAGAGGAAATGTTCTCATTTTGATCCTCAAGTTAAACTTATTTTCTATCTAGTTTTATTATTAGTTCCAATGCATGATGGGTTTAGATCATAGTTTTAGGTAGCCGGTGTTAAAAGAGTGTTATTTCCTTTACTTCTACTGAAAATTTAATTCAGTTAATCTCAGGAAGTAAAGAAGTTATGTTAATTTGTTAAAACAACAGGAAAAAACTGCAATTTTTCTATACTAAAATAGCCATAATTTTCTTATTTCAGCACCAACCTAGACATTTTTTTTTGTGTCAATCTCTTAGTTGTTTTATCCAATGAACAAAAGATAAATAAAAAATTATATTTATGTCTCATACCTACTTTCTTATTTGGTGTCAGAAATTGGATTCCACAGAATTAAACATTAAACTGAACTTGTTTTTATATTTAAAAAAGTGACTCAAATGTTGATTAAACAAACAGACTAATCCTCAGGTTACTGATTAATCAGACTGAACCACAGGTTACTGATAAACACGAGGTGTGTCTGCTGGTGAAACAGGCTGCACCTGTTCTCAGCAGGAAAAAAAACAGGAAATTATATGGCTGCGTTCCATTCTGATAAGCTCCTGCTGTTGTTCAATTCAGATGACTGGTCTTGTTTTACTAAAACACTAAATTGAACACAGCCTTATGATGGGACGTTTCCCCATCTCCACAGATTTAACGACTGATTAAACCACATTACTCAGAGTTATCTATAAATAATCTCGTAACTGCTAATCCCACAGCATTCATTTTAAAGCCGGAAGCAACTCAGAACGTTGTTGGTTCTTCGTGTTCACCGGTTCTGTTCTAACGGGATCTGGGCTGCTCCACTGTAAACACAAATGTTAAATAATGAGATTTTTGAACGGGGTTCGGCAGACGCGTCTCAGCTGATTTTTAGACATTTTAAACATTAAAAAGCAAAAAACATTATTTTATTTTTGCCTGGTTTGTTTCTGTTCTGCAACAACAAAACTGCTAGGTTGTTCCGATGTAACAGGCTGAGCCCAGAATTAGCACCTCAGTGTAAAGTTAGCTGCTTCGTGACGGAGCAGTGTGTTTACCCGGACAGCGTGACGTTCTCCGCGGGTGTGTTGGGCATGATGGTTCCGTCTCCTCTGGATGTCCGACGGAAGGTCTTCCTCTGGGTGTCCGTCTGCAGGCGGCGATACAGCGGACATGTTCCGGCCGATTCTCCGGCACCAACTTGCAAAAAGTCCCAAACGAAGTGACCGGAGGGTCCGCCCTGACAGGCGGGCGGCCGTCTCATGCACAGATTTGATCGGGAGAAGCGTCAACGGGCGCCCCCTGCCGGCTGGGAGAGTTATTACAGCGACTGTCCACGGGCGCCCCCTGCCGGCTGGGAGAGTTGTTACAGCGGCTGTCAACGGGCGCCCCCTGCTGGACGTAAGTCATTACAGCATAAAAATATCACAGAAAATGTAAATCTCTGGGGAATACCTTTTAAACGTTTGGATACTTTTAAAAAATAAATATTGATGTTATGGATATAAATTATACCTTTTGCTTTATTAATAAAAATGTACCTTAGCCACTGCACTCTCTATTGCACACCCCCCTCGGATCATGAGTCTGTCATGACTGTTTTTCTTGTAATTTTTTTCCGCACAGTGTCTTATTTTTATTCTTATTTTATCGTTATAGTCTTTTACAGTAATTTTATTTTATTTTATTCTATTTTATTTTTAATTTTTTTGTTATTATTATCTTAGTTCTACTATTTATTGCTACTGGTGATATTGTCACATAGCAATACGTATATTGTTTTTGTGGATTGATGTGTCTGCTGCTGTTACACCAGAATTTCCCCTCTGCGGGACAATAATGATTTGTCTCATGTGCCTAAAATATACCAAAATTTAAAAAATGATGTATATCAATACTTGACTGATCATAATAGTCAAAAATTAAAAGTATTCTGGGAGGGAAAAAGTGCATTTTACTGGCGTATAAAGGCTTTGGAAAGTGTTTTAATGGCTGTCCTCTGATCGAGTTGAATGTTTTGATTTGTGCTGACTCAGCATTTAGATTTGAGGGGGGTCAAACTCTCCCCTGATCAGGTGGGATCTGATGTTGTGACCTGTCATCTTGTCAGTGAGGTGAAGGATTACAATCCGGCCCGTGAGCGCCATAATCCCATGTAATCTGGGATTCAGTTTCACTCTACGGCACGAGCAGAGCAGAGGACTGTGGAGGACCGTGGAGGACTGGGGCTATGAAGAACTGGAGGACGTGTCTAAGACCTGCGTGAGGCGAGATGTTGCTGCTGGTTCTCCTTCAGGTTCTGCAGGTCTCTGTGAGGGCCCAGTTCTGTCCAGACCTTTGTGTCTGCAGTGGAGGGGCTGCAGAACTCAGGTTAACTGATTTCTACATTTGCATCATCAGATTATTATTTAGTAATTATAGTGTTATTACCATGTAACTAACACCAGCTGACCTTTTGCTGATTTAGCTGTTCGTACATCAACACCTTCGGCTCATTGAGGAGATGAGTGCTGAGGCTTTTGGTTTTTTAAGTTTTTTATTATTTTCAGAATATTTAACTTTTTAATTACAAAAAATTTCCAGTGTTAAATACTTTGAGATTTCTTCAATTTCATCAAACACTTTTTGTTTTTTTCAGAGCTTAAACTCAACTGGCTGTTTGTGTTATCTTAAGCTAATATACAGCTAGCTTTATTTACATTTAGTTACCATTCTGTTCCTGTTAGCATCCTTTTGTTGATTTAAGCAGCTAGCTTTTTATTACTTTTATCTTCCAGATAGCCTTTTTATAATTTTAGCTTTTAGCTAGCCTTCTAATGCTTTTAGCTAGCCTTCTGATACTTTTAGCTTGTAGCTAGCCTTTTTATAATTTTAGCTTTTAGCTAGCCTTCTGATACTTTTCTTAGCCTTTAATGCTTTTAGCTTTTAACTAGCCTTTTGATCATTTTCGCTAGCCTTTTTATGCTTTTAGGTTTTCTTAGCCTTTTTATGCTTTTAGCTTTTAGCTAGCCTTCTGATACTTTTAGCTTTTAGCTAGCGTTCTGATACTTTTCGCTAGCCTTTTTATGCTTTTAGCTTTTCTTAGCCTTTTTATACTTTTAGCTTTTAGCTAGCCTTTTGATGCTTTTTGCTAGCCTTTTGATACTTATAGCTCTTAGCTAGCCTTTTTTATACTTTCAGCTTTTACCTAAATTTTTGTTACTTTGTTTTTAACTGCCTTCTGATATGTTTAGCTTTTACCTAGCCTTCTGATACCTTTAGCTTCCAATTAGCCTTTTATTACATTTATGATCTAGATTGATACTTTTAGCTTTTAGTTAGCCTTTTTATGCTTTTAGCTGGCCTTTTTATACTTTTAGCTAACTTTTTGTTACTTTGTTTTTAACTGCCTTCTGATATGTTTAGCTTCCAGTTAGCCTTTTATAACTTTTTTGCTTCTAGATAGCCTTTTGACATATTGAGCTTTTAGCTAGCCTTCTGATACTTTTAGCTTTTAGCTAGCMTTTTATACTTTTAGCTTCTATGTAGCCTTTTGATGATTTTACATTTTTAGATTGCTTTTTGTTACTTTGTTTGTAGCTGCCTTCTGATAATTTTAGCTTCTGTCTAGCCTTTTGATAYTTTAATTTTTAGCCATATTTTTGRTACTTTTAGTTTCTAACCTGAAGGAAACGGTGAAAGCAGAAGTTTAATTAGTTTCAACCATCAAACACAGAAGCAGCTGATTTGATTATTCTGATTCACTCGAGTCTCCTGCGTCATGTTTGTGTTTGTCGCAGGTCTGTTCGGTGCAGCGCCACCGGGATGTCAGCACTTCCTGTTAACGTCCCACCCAACACGGTCAAGCTCCGCCTAGAGAAGACCTTGATCTCCAGGGTGCCCCGGGCAGCCTTCTACAACCTGTCGGAGCTGCGCTTCCTGTGGCTGACCTACAACTCCATCACCTCCGTCCACCCCAGCAGCTTCGTCAACCTGAAGGCTCTGCGAGAGCTGCGTCTGGACGGGAACCTGCTGACCACCTTCCCGTGGGAGGGGCTTCGAGACATGCCCCGCCTCCAGACTCTGGGGCTCAACAACAACCGCCTGGCCAGCCTTCCGGCCCACGCTGCCCTCTTCCTGCCCAACATCACCTACCTGGACGTCTCCAGCAACAGGTGGGTCAAACAGGGTGACAGGAAGCTTTCAGCAGGTAAGATACTCATGTTTAACATGGATACTCTCTCCTCAGGCTGACCATTCTGGCAGCTGAGCTTCTGGATCTGTGGTTCCCTCTTCCAGAACTGCAGGAGGGTCCGGTCCGAAGAAAGATCTTGGGTCAGTGAAAGGAAAATATTTGATTAAAAAAGTAAATAAAAAACCTTCCCAGTACTTATGAGGTACTTATCCAAGTATAAATAACACACAGGATACACAGTTAGTACCATGCATTTTAATAAGTATCCTGTATATTTCTCAGTGAGTAGCATACTGGGTACTTGAGTAATTTAAAGAGTACCTATTAAATACTAAATGATGAAAAGCCATTCTTTCTTTTTTAAATAACAGTCTTGAGTTTCCACCTTGTGGCTGTCAGTGGTACTGCAGCTTCTGATTGACAGCTGACATTAAAATACTGACATTAAAATGGCGGGAGATCGTGTATTTGGTTGTTTTTGTGTCTCTTTAGATCATTTAAAATCAAAAGTTGGAAAAGGAAAAACAAAATAGCTTAAATATGAACACAATGGTGGGCACAATTCTGGTTATTCGCTAATAACAGAACTTAGCTTCTCATTTAGCGAATTATCTTCGTTGCTAAATTTGGAAAGAATTAGCGGACCAATTAGCTTCTGCTAAATTAGGTTACACTGATTTAAAAAACACAAAAAACATTCACAAGTGTTAAACTTTTATTTTTATGCTGTTTATCCTGAATTAAATATAAATAATCCACTCTGAAGTGCTGGACATGTCAGGCACCGTGTTTGTTAGCATGTAGCATCTTTAGCAGCTAAACTTCAAGCTAAGAGCATCAAAAAGAAATAAAATTACATTTAACAAAATTGAAATGATGCATTCAAAAGCTGACTACATAGAAAATACGGTAAAGTAAGTATTTGCTATTTTTATTAGTATTGTCTGACTAACTTCGAACAAAATTTATAAAAACTTGATGAAAGAAATGCTTTTATTCTGGAAGTATCACAGATTGGCCGATGATCTCGCCCACCTTCATATTAAGCCAATAGAAAACTAACAACAGGTTTGTGTCAGTCTGATAGCTATATTAGCGGTTAGCATTTAGCATTAGCTTCCATTAATTTTTTTTTCTTAGCGTTAGCGGATTAGTGGTTAGGGAAGCTAACGTTCTGTGCCCATCTCCTGTTTTTAATCTTTTAGGTCTCCATGATAACCCCTGGCTGTGCGACTGCCAGATCTCCATGCTGACGTCCCTGTCCAGGTCCCTGGGGAGCCCGGTGGTCCTGATGGACCAGCTGCTGACGTGCAGCAAGTCTGTGGGCCAGTCGGGGATGCTGCTGACCCAGGCAGACCTCTCCCGCTGCACCAGACCCTCGGTCCAGCCGGCGGCCACCAGGGTCGTCTCGCCGCTGGGCAGCAACGTTATCCTCCGCTGCGACGCCAGCGGGTACCCAACGCCCACCCTGACCTGGATCAAGACCTCAGCCTACACGGGTAAGGGGTCTCAGATGATGCTGCAGAAACAAATCTGGACCTCAGGTCATGAAGTTATCTGATGTTTGTGTGCAGATTGTTGTAAACAAGACGTTCTGCAGAACTCTGAGCAGCTCCCCAGGATTTTGGAGGGATGTGAGTTATTTTGTCTTCAGCTCGTCTAAAACGGATTTATTTTTTAAGATGGTCCTGATAAAGTGCTGCTCCCGATTTAAAAGTGTCCTCCATGTTTCAGTCATGCAGGATTCTCCTCGAGTCGGGGTCCGCTGGTCCATAATCAGTCTGAACGCTTTGTCCTACGAGGACGCCGGCGAGTACCGCTGCCAGGCACGGAACATGGCGGGGATATCCGAGGCCCCCATCAAACTCAAGGTCATGGGGGTCACCAGGCTGACTCGCTTCCCAAAGAAGAAGCCCAAAAAGACTCCGACCAAGTCGTCGCCCAAATACAAGAAACCCAACCAAACGTCAGCCGACAGCAACGCGCTCACAGAGGAGAGTCCGCTGGTTTCAAACAATTTCCCGTCTTTAAAGTCCAGAAACGTCATCAGTTAAGATTTTTAATCAGACGAAATCCAAATGTTAAGATTCTGAAGTGAGGCTGTTTCTATTCTATTCTATTCTATTCTATTCTATTCTATTCTATTCTATTCTATTCTATTCTAAAAACAACTGTATTTAGTTTTTGTAATTTTGATGTGAAAAATAGAGATGAAAAGCAAATCAAGCTAAAAATGTGGTTTCAGTCTTCTTTACATGAGACTTACAGCTGTTTTATCTCACTTTTTGTAAAAAAAATAAAAAGTACATTAAGTTCAGTGTCATTTGTGCTATTTTTCCATTTTATTTGTTTTTTTTTTTTCATTTTAGGTTATTAATTAAATATCTGCAAGTGAAAATACCTTTTTCAACTTCATGTTGGCCTTTAAACTCCAGTGTTTGCACGGTCTGTGAGTGGGTTGGAAGGGTTTGTGGGCGGGGCTTCCACTGTCTCTAGTGCACAGACTCTGGTTCCAAAAAAAACCCTCCAAAAATGGGTTTTATTTGTGAATATAAAGAGGAAGCAAAAATGTTTTTTCCATATTTTTTCACATATTCCTACCATTATGTTTGAGAAGAGGGATTTGCTCACAATTAAAAACGCAAATATTGGTAGTTTTGTGTTGAAGTTGTGTTTTTTTTTCTGTCTCGATTTGCCTCATTTCCATTCCATTGTTTTTGTTTTTATGCAGCAGAGCTCAGTGGTTCCTTCAGTTTGCTGAGTCAGCGTGACGAAGCGAAGCTCTCTTGGCTGAAGCCCAACTTCACTGCACTGCAGCAAAGACGTGCGCCTGCGGGGCAAACAGGTAAAACTGAATCACTGCAGCAAACTGGAGTTAGGGTGGTAGCATCAGATTTACAGGTAAAACCCTTTCAACCACCAGGTGTGTCTGCTGGAAATAAACAAAACCCACTGAAACGACGACCTGGAAAAACTGGAACTATCAGGTCACAAAGTATCATGTACAAATATAAAATCATCAAAGCTAAAGTACAAAACAGGGGTCATCAACTGGCAGCCCGTGGGCCACATTCAGCCCACAGGAAGTCACTTCTGGCCTCAATCTGTTCAGACTTGTTAAAGTAGATTTCAGCTGCTAAAGTGGAATATTTTTTTTATATTTTGTGGTTTATCTTGCAGACTGTCAGGAACATGTTGTACAAAGAAAATGGATATTATTTTAAATATAGATTTTTCTGCCACGTTTGCAGTTTTCATCCAGACAAAAACTAAAGTTTTGGTTAGAAAATGCTTTAAATTTTAATGAACTTTAACATTTAGTTGCTGTTGGTCATCAAAATCTTTGCTCTGTTTGAAATCACCTGGCTCTGTTTGTGTCTTATTGAGTTACTTTTGGATTTTAGCTACATTTAGCTACACATTTAGTTCTGTCAGCTAGGCCTTAATTAATTTTAATATAGCTGGCATTGAGATACTTTTAGCATAATTATAACTAGCCTTTTGCTAATTAAAACATCTATTTAGCATTTTGCTACTTTCAGGTAGACTTTTAGCTTGTAGCCAGCCTTTTAATATTAGCTAGCCTTTAATAGTTTTAGCTTCTAACTAGCCTTTGATACTTTTAACTTGTATGTAGCCTTGTGATACTTTTAGCTTTTACACAGCTTTTTGCCCATTTTAGCTTGTAGCTAGCCTTTAGATACTTTTAAGTTTTAGTTTAATACTTAGTACCTTTAGCTTCTAACTAGCCTTTTATACTTTTAACTTTTAGCTTGTAGGCTTCTGATACTCTTAGCTTTTAGCCAGCTTTATGGCCATTTTAGCTTGTAGCTAGCCTTTGATACTTTTAGCTTCTAACCATTTTTTGGATACTTTTAGCATTTAGTTAGCCTTCTAATATATTTTAACTTTTAGCCAGCCTTTTGATACTTTTAGCTTGTAGCTAGCCTTTAGATACTTTTAAGTTTTAGTTTAATACTTAATACTTTTAGCTTCTAACTAGCCTTTTATACTTTTAACTTTCAGCTTGTAGTTAGGCTTCTGATACTCTTAGGTTTTAGCCAGCTTTATGGTAATTTTAGCTTTAAGGTGGCATTTTGACACTTTTAACTTGTAGCCTTTGATGCTTTTAGCTTTTAGCCAGTCATTGGATACATTTAGCATCCAGTCAGTTTTTTGATACATTTAATTTCTAGTTAGCCTCCTGATACTTTTTAACTTTTATCCAGCCTTTAGAAACTTTTAGCTTCTAGCTTGCCCTTTGACTTTTAGCTTTTATCTTTTTAATACTTTTAGCTTGTAGCTAGCCTCCTGATACTTAAATTTTATCCAGCCCTTTTGTAGTTTTAACTTGTAGCTAACTTTTAGATTGCATTTCCTTGTAGCTTGCCTTTTGATACTTTTAAAGTTTAGCCAGCATTAGCTATATTTTTTGATATTTTTTTTAGCTTATAGCCTTCTGATACTTTTAGCTTGTAGCTATCCTTTCGATAATGTTAGCTTCTATCTAACCTACTGATACATTTTCCCAGTATTTTGGTACTGTTAGCTGCTCTTTTTGCTACTTTAGCTTGGACCTGTTTTTCAGTAGCTAAGATGTTTAGAAGCTGCTGAAGGTTAAAGATTTCCCTTTCAGACTGAAGATGCTWCAAAACAAAACAACATCCTCAAAGTTAGGATCATATTTTACAAAAATGCAGAATATTTATTTTTAATGTAGCTTTTCTGCCAAGTTTGCACTTTTCATCCAGACACAAAGTGAGGTTTTGGTTAGAAGAAACTTTAAAAAGTGGAACATTAATGAGCTTTAACTTGGGATTTTTATCTTTAATAAAAAAAATCACAGCTGAAGTTTGATGTTTTTTTGCTAAAGCAGATTAAAAAACATTTTAAAAATAATTTAAGACATCTTAATGCTTGTATTTGAGGGAAATCTTTGGGGTGATTGTAGGAAATGTCCAAAAACAATTTTAAAGTCATAAATGTTTTCACAAACTGACCATCAGAGGGCAGTGTGAGCCTCTACACGCTGCCTGTCCTGACTGACAAATAAACACATAAATAAAGCAAACACTGAGGAAAACAACGCCCCGAGGTCAGCTTCTAATCCCAAACCTGCTTCTATGAAACACAACATCAATAAAATATGATTAATATCCAACAAAAAGGACAAAACTCACAGAAAGTCTTTGTGTTTGAAGCACATTTCTGAGAAATCAGACATAAAATAAATAAACAAATACAAGCTGGGGTGTTTTTATTTGTAACACTGGATAAAAACTATAAAATACTCCCCTCATAAACACACGTTACAGTAAAATAGATGAAAACAGGTCCTTTTGTTCCATTTCAGCAGAAACACACAGTTTGTGTTTTTACTTTAAGAGTAAAATTGTGTAAAAATAAAACACATCAGCATCATTTTTTTTCCCAGGACGCCATCCAGCTGCGTTTCTCTGCCGAACCGAAAAGCAGCGAAAAACAAGCCGAAGGGAGTGACGGAGGGCTGCAGGCATGTCTCGTGTGATTGGTCGTTTGGGTCGAGTCCGGGCAGAACAGGCTTCAACCCCCTCCTCCTCCTCCTCCTCCTCCTCCTCAGAAACAGAAGATGTCAGAATCCTGTCGCTCCGAGCATCAGCTGTTCCCAGTTATTTCCACCAGGAGCATTTTATAAATCATATCCCCCCCACATTACAGCATCAAGCTTCCTTTACTCAAGTGTTTTGTTAAGTTTTTGGATCAGCCCCCTGGAC